CAATAAGGGGATCTTATGAAATAAGTTTTCTGGTAAAAAGGAATTATTAAATAGTTGCAAGTCCAAAGTGTTGGCATTGCGTGATGTTTAATAAAAAGAAATATGTCTCCCAAACCTATATTAATAATGTTGATTTTACAAAAGGGACCATCACCAAAATTGTTTTCACTTAAATTTACAAATACAAACAATAGTTAATTCAAGAAATCATGAAAAATCATGAAAAAAAATACAAAAAATCTGTCTGCCCAGAGGAGTGAGTATTCCATCTTTTGACTTCTGTGAAAGCCTATGAAATATGAACTTTCATTTCTACCCAGGAGGACTTTTACAATCTTTTCTCCAATGCCTGATGAAGGGTGTTTGTGCCCCAAAGCTTGCAATTAAAGATTTTTTTTTTTTTTGCAAAAAACTTGTTGGTCTAATAGTTTCTACTATGATCCCTGATTGCAACAATCATGAAAACAGTTTTAAAAAAAAATAAAGAAATATAATTGAAACTTTCTCTCGTAGTGTTGGGAAGTTAGATTGTGTCTGGAAACCAGGAAGTGAAACTAACTGTAAACAGCAAAAGTACCAAGGAAGCTTTAAGGAAGGAAAAAAATAACATAATAAAACTTAGTGATCGTTATTAATAGTAATCATGCTTGTAGTGTCTAGGGACCAGGCCAGATCAGGGATCTGTTTTACTAGGCACTGTTACAAAGAAGATGACCCCAAAGAATGTACAGTCTAAATATACAAGACAGAGAAAGGGTAGGGATATTTATGATTATTGGACATGGGGTCAAATCCTGTTCTTTTAACTTACAAATGCAAACCTATACCTTCCAAGCCACCTTTACACAATTTCTCATTTTGGCCTTTATGTGAAAAAAAAAAAAAAAATCCTCGTGAACTAATGTGTAAGTCTGTGCTCCTTTTCTCCTGCCTTCTGTCTCCATCTGCCTTCTGAAGACTTTCTTCAGCCATGACCCCACAGGAAGTTAGTTACTGACTTTATCTTGATATCATCCTGTGCACAGGCCTGGCTCCCAAAAGATCATCATTTCCAATGACCTTCCTAAGTATGATGAAAAGGAATTAAATGGACAGCAAAGATTCAAAATAACTTATTTCAAATAAATTAATGGGAACTATTCCCCAAATATCCTTTAATCTAGATAATAGTAATTAATAAATAATAAATGCCTCAATCTCATCTTGTAGGTGTTGTCCACAAGGGTTGGTTCAGAGCCACATTTCACTTACCGGGCTGCTACACTCTGTGCTCTGCCTCCTTTTGGCTCACCCTGTCTGTCTTTGAAGCATGGTAACTCCAGGTGCTGACACTCTGCCTGGTCTTCCTATGGGCAGAGTACATATGGGAAGCAAAATCTCCTTATGCCTTCCCAGCGAGGTGCATCCTCATGAATGGGCCAGGCAGTTTTTGACTGTAAGTAAGGAGAGGAGGATTTGACCATTTATGTTTGTCTAGGTTAATTTCTGGTAAATCTTCTCCCCTTTCCTCCCTCAGCCTCAAACACCTTTAAATAAATAAAAATCAAGGGCTCTGCAAGAGTATGTATAAAATGCATGATTAGGAATTGGATGAGATGCTGGTAAATGAGGTTCAAGGCATGAAAGAGACGGATTGGATAGGGGTTAAGAGCTCAAAGTGTTCCATGTATGAACAATAACTGGATTCAAAGCCTTAATACAGTGTGTCCATATTTGAACAGCTAATATTGTTTGTTAATTTTCTGGAAATGCCTAGTTTCTTCAGGGAGCCAACACAGCCTGATGAGCCTGCTGAAGAGTGAAAATCCCTGATGTAAGGCTTGAAAGAAATGTTTGCATGCCAAGGATCCCAACAGAGTTATGCTAAACCCAATGGAAAGCAAATAAAAAAAAAAAAGTAAATGATAAAATGACGTTTTGTCCCTGGGGCTGTTGAAAATACGTGACAAAGTAGTATGTTCCATTTCTAACTTGTAATTTATGAATAGGTCTTTCTATTCCACTCTGTTCCCCTTGTCCCATGAACTTACACAAGCTACCTCTTCATTTTGTCATCTACGTGCTAAAGCAGCGCTAGCCTTTCTCTCCTTTTCAGAGAACTCCAGAAGGAGATGCCCAGTATAAGGGCAATTAAATGACTGCAAGATTGGCTCTCCACATACAAAATGCTTTGGAGGGAGGGAGATCCTTCTGCTTGTACTGATAGTGAGGCAGGGATTATGTTTCATTCTTAATTTGGCTTTCCCTCTTTAATCAGAAGGGGATATAGGGCCCTTCCTGATTTCCATCTCAGCTGGGGACCCATAAAGCCAGCTTGGATGTGAGGACGTGATTATAGAAATCCTGGAGCTAGTTATTGCGTGTGAGAGAAATTCTGCTGTATTCTTTCTCAGAACATATTTTTCTCCTGCTTTTGTCTATGATTTCAAAAGAGGGTTGGCAGAATACATTTTTTGCTCGGCATTTTCATTATGTCCATTTTTTTTCAAGAGTGACTCTTTTTTTTTCTTTCACTAATAAATAATAACAACAAAGGAAACAGAAAAGTCCCACAATGCAGTTGATCAGAAATGATGATATTGTTCTGTGTCAATCCCATTCCTGAGCTGCATGAAATAAAGAACCCCTTTGGGAACACCAGAAGTTCATCAGGACCAATTAGTGGAGATGCTGTGGCTTGTGTATAAGCGTCAATGACCAGGCAGGGTTGGTTTTTTGGAGTGGCTAATGCTGGCATAGAACAAGGCACCAACCTAATTACTCTTCTGCAAGAGCAGAAAATGCCTTGTGAATGCTTGCTTGGCAAGCCTGTCTCATTAAAGACAAAAAAAAAAAAACCCCACCCAGCAGCAGCAAGAACAACAACAACAACAATCCCACCCCCTCAACCAAACAAAAGTACTCCTAGAAGCAGAAAGTAATATGATAGGTAACCTGCGGCCATAAGACTTTCTTTGTGACTATGAGAAATTAAATGAGCTTAGCTATACCATGGCTTATCTTCATGGATTTCTGATTTACTAGATGACATGGAGCCAGGAACTGGTTTGTATTTTGTTTCTAAAACTCACTGGTTTGCAGGAAAGTTCTGCTTATAGGAGGGACAGAGCATACTGACACTGTTGGAGCACAATCATGTATGCCAATGCCCTTGCCACCAGAGTGACTTGAAAAGCACTACTATACTCATGTCCAGTGGAAACACTTTGGGTTCTTTTTCCCATCCAAGATTTACAGACCTTCTCAGTGCAAGTAGCATTTGGGAGAGATGAAAGATCAGTTGGTCATGAAAAGTCTATATGACGAGGTTAGTTTCTCTTTCTGCCAGTATGAACTCCATAAACAGCTTGTGGTTTCCTCAGATTTATTAGTGATTATGCAGTTGGCCAGAAAACTTTCATTCATAATTTTTTTTTCAAAGTAAAATGAGAAAAAATAGGCAAAATCTGTTTACAGTCTTTGGAGCAGCTTTGTTTATTAGTCTTATTTAGTCATTAAATTCATATTATAAAGCCAGCATCACACTGGCAGATACCAAAATGAGCTGGGTCCTGTCATCATTCCCTAATTTCCATTGGGATTTTCTTTCCTCTTGAAAAATGGTATAGATTCACCTTAAGGTTTTCGGATCCAAGGACTAGACCAGAAGCTGTAATCATCCACCCAACAGATGCAAGTTCATTGCAAAACATCACTTATTTCAAAGGCAACAAAACAGTGATTCGGGCTTTGATTGGCTGTCTTTAAAGCACTAACAACAGGCATAGTTACCTAGTGCTCAGATCAAAGAACTTTGTGGGTCCAGGCTTGTAGGATTCTATTCTTTCCTTATGAACTTTGGGATGTTTGGGCCTCATTTATCCCATATTAAATAGATACAAGGGTTGCTATCCGTTTTACAAATATGTCATGAGGCTTCTTTATGTAAGTATACATTTCTGTAGCTTTAAATAAACCAGCACATTTTCCTATGAAATTTCTATTGGCTATAAGAGAGTCATGGGAGAGAAAAAGGTCAGATTCAGTGTGGGTCCCTCTTTTGAAGGAGTGGGATTGAACCATGAATGATCATGTATATGCTCATCAGGGACCATCAAGTGTCGGGTGTAGTGATGAAAATCCTTCTATCTACAACATTTACTTCTGGATCTCAGAAGTAGTGGAAGTGATTTATTTTCCACTAGCTGAACATCCAGTTCCCAGTCTTACTTATTGTATTGGGGTTGTCTGGAGACAATGCTTGGTAATGTAATCTGGGATGAGCTCTGTGCCCAAACTCAGTTTTAAACTTTACTCAGTTTTTACTGGCTTCTGACTCAATTTAAATTCCTGTTGATTTCAGTAAGAGTGCAGCCTCAGTAAGGGATAAATAAAATCTGGATAAGGACTTCAGTATTTGGCCTCATGTGAATTCATTCAAAACAGCATTTATTTCTGAATGTCATGAGATAGGAGATAAGAAGAGAGATGGAGAGGCAGAGAAGTAAATTACACTGTTGAAATATAGTTTGATGCTAAGGGAAGATACATAGGAACTGGTGTGACAGGACTCATTAAAAACAATTTGTAATACTTTTTGATTCTATAACATCAATAAACCCGGGTATCTCAGAGCATTGCATAGATTTCAGCTTAATCCTGACATCACCTCTGTGAGTTCTGCAGGTTTTCTCTCTATCATATGGCTGGGAAAACTGAGGGACTGGCAGGTGACTTTTCCACAATTGTGTATTGAGTCTTAGGCAGTTCCCGGAGTAAGCTGAAGTCACTAAATAAACTCTTCTTCTCCTGTTTTCCCTTGATTGTCTTATAACAGTTGAAGATGACACTTGCCTTGGATAGCTCATTTCCTAAAACTAGGATCATGCTGAATTTTCCATGTAGAGAACATGCTGCTTTATTTGAATAGCTGATTGTGTTTGCTTTGTGAGAGTGAATACACAGGACACCGTGGCAGTGAGTCACAGTAACTTTATTGTCTTTATTTGTTTTGCCATCAGGTGAAATTGGGTGGAGAAGCCCCAAACTCCAGAGTGATTCACATAACCAATGGCGTCAGTGGTGGCAGTACCAGATGCAAGAGTGTTGGTGGAAAGTTGGGGAGCAAGTGCCATCTCTTGGATTTTGCCAACTCTGAGCGCCCCCTGGTGGTCAACTTTGGTTCAGCTACCTGACCTCCATTCACAAGCCAGCTGTCAGCCTTCAGCAAGCTGGTGGAGGAGTTTTCAGGTGTGGCCGACTTCTTGTTGGTCTACATTGACGAGGCTCACCCATCAGATGGTTGGGCTGCTCCTGGAATCTCGCCCTCTTCATTTGAGGTGAAAAAGCACAAGAACCAGGAAGACCGATGTGCAGCTGCTCACCAGCTCCTGCAGAGGTTTTCCTTGCCCCCCCAGTGCCAAGTAGTGGCTGACTGCATGGATAATAATGCCAATGTAGCCTATGGGGTCTCCTTTGAACGCGTATGTATCGTGCAGCGACAGAAAATTGCTTACCTGGGGGGCAAGGGCCCCTTTTTCTACAGCCTCCAGGAAGTTCAGCTTTGGCTAGAACAAAACTGCAGCAAGAGATGAAATCCAGCATATGCTGAGGAAAATGTTTCACAAGTAGTGTCCCTTTAATGTGATATAAAAGGGAAAAAAACATATACTGTTTTGAAAGGTCCTTTTTTGGCCTATTCCAAGAAATAACAAGATCAAATGAATGCATACCAGAAAAGAAAAATAACACAAAAATGATAGTTGTGTGAAACAACCCCACTCCTGCCTTCCCAATGGGACAGAAATGGCAAATGTGAAAAGAGTGCCACTGTTGAGCAGGGAAGATGATGAGATGAGATATTTCTCTGAGGAGGAACCTATGCATATATTGAAGTGTTGGTGTTAGAATGAGCCAGAAACATTTCTGTTTGGAAGGCTCTTGTATAGAGAGGCAATGTAATGAATTTGAACAGGGACATCTCTTTGTTCCGCTGATGGCCATGTTAGCAATTGCAAGGAGCCAGGGTCTTGCCATTAATTTGCATAAAATGGAATAGATTATAGCTACTCTCCTCTTTTGATACAGAAGCATGACCCTCCAAAGAGTACAGCATACACAATATAATGCAGTGCAAACTTGCTCTGTGTGCAATATATATATCTATGTCTATCTAGATAGATAGATATATCTATATCTATCTATATATATAACATACATGCATGCATACATGAACACACACATTCATATTTACATTACACACACACACACACATACATATATATATATATATATATATATGCATTATATATATATATGCATGTTATGTATGCATGCACAGACACACTATATATAGGGTCCTACATTTAGGCCTTAGCTTAATGAGTACTACTTTGGTATCCCTGTATTAGAGAGGAAGTAGTGTGGGGAGAAGCAAGTGATGTGAAGGGAGAATATATATATGAAAAATGAGGCAGGAAAAGACAAAGATTGAAAGAGAAATCTACAATGTTCCACTTTGGAACTGTTAGAAGTGGGACCATTTGTCACCAGCACCCTCTGATGTATATACGCGGTTCATGCCAATGGCAAGAGAGAAGAGCTCAGCTGATGCCAACCTTCTCTTTATAGAACTAAAAATATGTATTTATCGGTGTCTTTTCTTTTTTTGTTCATTCTCTCTCTCCCTCTTTCTCTCTCTTTCTTTTTTCATTTTTCTTTTTTTTAAAGAGAAACAGTAGAAATAGGGATTATTTTGTGCCTAGTTTTGTAAAAGTAATTTATTTCTTCTTCTTTTATGTTTTTTGTGACAATGACATAGCAGGTGTATTTTTGAATGGGGGGGAACTTATACACCACTTTACCTCATTGGAACAGAAATGTGTCCAGTCAGTTACCCTGTTACATGTGCTCATGTTGATTTTTGCTGTCCGAGATGCCTGCAATTAGTTTACAGCCATGTAAGTTAATGTGAAAGTTAATCAGTTTTTAACCTTGGGATTGATAAATTGCAGTTCTGCTGTCAGGTAGGATGATGTTTTGTTCACGTTTCATTAACTTACTCAGAAGCTTTCTGAGAACATACTATTGTGTCCTTAACTTTACAGCCATCTCCCTTTTTTTATGAAGTTAAGGATGAATTGAGTGAATTACCATGAACAATTGTAACAAATGGCTGATTTCTCTCCAGAATGGGTAAAGAGATTATTTAGAGGTATGTTCAAAGATTTGCTGTCAACTTCAGTTTAGTTTTTGTTAAAAATAAAACAATTTAATGAAGTCTATCAATGGACATTCACCTGGACTAGGGTATTAGAATTGGAAAATGAAATTGGATAGCTACAAGGGTGGAACTGATTAATCTGGTTTCAGTGTCCAAGCTGAGACAACTATTAACCAAGAAAACAGTACAAATATGGAGAAATAAATTGAGAAAGAAATGTATTTTAAATAAAAAATCCTTCCAGTCTATCTGAGATATTAAACCAATACAGAGAAGGACTTAAAATATTAGCTTTGACAATGTCCTTTTAAGCACTCTTGGTGTCTTTTCTTCTGTTTTGGTGTTGCCCAATTTATCTAGCGCAAACATTTTTAGAAGTGTGGTGCTGTTAAGGACAGATATGAAATCTTGACAGCAACACATGAGTTTGATTTTCCATACAACTGAGTTGTTCCTTCTTTGACTCCCCCCCACACACACACACACACATGCACACATGCATACACACCATTTGAGAAAGAATGTCAGAGAAGCTGGTGGGGACTGGGCGTCAGAAAGTCAAGTTAATGTGATAGAGTCCAAAGCCTGACACTTCTATCTGTTCCAGGTTTTCCAAATTGTTCTAAGTAGTTTTTGGTATGGAGGAAAAAAAGGGACAATAACACATGCTGTTATTTTCCTTAGGATGGGCTGAAGGTAGGTAGTTAGGAAGAGGAAAAGAAACTAAGCAATGGAAAATGTAGGACGAATATTAATCTGTTCCCAGCCTTATTTTATGCTATGTGAATTCCACTTTTCAGAAAGTGTGATTACATGTACACAAATGAACTCTTAAGGTCTTTTCAGGAAGATCCATCAAGTCATTCCATTCATTAAAGTTATCATTATCCATGACTGAGTATTGTAGATTGTTGTATCTTTTTATGACCCTGTGGGATACTTAATAGATTAAATCTTTTAACACAGAAACATAAGAATTGCCATACTAGATCAAACCAGTGGTTCATCTAATCCAGTATCCACTCTTTGACAGTGTCCAGAAAATTAGGGAAGGTGCAAGTATCCAAACAGGACCATTTTGGTGTAACTGGGCATTTCTACATGAGACGCTGTTTGTGCAGCAGCCGGAAAATACTGCACAGTAGAGCACCACAGCACAGACAGTGGTAATACACTGCTGCATAGTACTATTAGGTTGTTGCACAGTAGCATCACCTAAAAGATGTTCTCCAACACCACTGCACAATAACTCTGGTTACTGTGCAGTAGCGCCTTATGTAAATGCACCCACTGATTTTTAACCAATAGCCAGTTATTGATTGATTTATGCCTCTATGATTTTACTCTGCCTAATGCAGCCGCAAATACCCTCATTCTCCATATAAATGGCTGACTCTCTTTGGAATCTAAGAAGGTTTAGGGCTCAAATCTGTCTTGTGGCAGTGAGTTCCATACTCAAAAATTCCTATTTTCAGGGTCATATCTGTTGCCTTTCAATTACATTGAATATGCTCTTGTAATATAAGACAGAGTTAATAGAGGCCCTTAATTTTTCTGCTCTGTGCTTTTCATTTTTTATATATGGCTTTGACATAATTCCTCATGTTTGTTCACTTCTGAAACTAAATAATCTTAAACTTTTTTCATATTTTAAATACAGATTTATGTTTCTAATAACTTCCCCCTCTGCCGCCCAATTATTTCTGGATGACTTCTGTTTTGTTTGTTTGTTCTCTTTTTTTTCAGAACTGAAAACAGTAGTCCAGGCCAAGACACACAATTGATATATATAATGACATCAAACTATCTTCTATATTATTTTCTATTCCATTCTTCTGACACTCGAAGTATTATCATTCTATAACTACTGTGGGCATAACTCCAAATGCCTTCTGAAACAAACCTGTCAGTTTCTTTCTTTTTCTTGTTCTTTTGTTCTTTCTTCCTTTAATAGTCTCAATTGTTTGTCTTGGAAATGTGTTTAATATGACTGTTGAAACATACCTTAAACGCAGAAGAGGAATTCTGAATTAGTAAATCTAATACCTCTTTGCATATCTGAAGTTACAGATATTCTGCATGGCTATTTTTTCTTCTTTACGGAATTCTATTATTTTGTCTCCTATGTGCAGTATCTCATTATTCATAGATGTCTGTTCATTGCACAGCAAGGGGATTATAACACTAGCTCCTGTATACAGAAAGTCCACAAAGATAAGAGCTCTCTTTGTTGGCGACATGAATTCCTGACTGTCAAAAACTTTAAGACGCACCAACCTCTGCAGTTATCATGACAGGAATACATTTTATAAGGTCCTTTTACCTCTCCAGAAACTATGTAGCTAGAAAAAACCAAACAAACAGATGGAAGTATTTCATAGAACAGTGAGTTTAGAGGAAGATATGTTCTCTGTTTTGTGAGTGTTTGATAGAAATGCAGTGTCTACTTTTTGTGATATAAAATGACACAATTTTTAGAAATTAATGATTTTTTTTTACTTCTAATGATCACTTTTAATAATAGAAATAGACATGTATGGGTAAGATTAGTCAAGTTAGCAAAATTTTTTAAAAAAGCAGCTATTGATCCTCAGGGTTCAAAGTATAAACTGATTACCAGCTGGGTACAGGAAGGAACACTACTAAAAACATGGCATCACAGAATATGATTAGCCAGGTATACTGGAGTTTGGGTTTGTCTTTGCTTTTGCATTCGGGCTTGGTTACTGGTTTAGGATACTGAACCAGATTATTGAGTTATTCCAGTATGGCAAACCTTACTTTCTAAAATTGTATGGAGCCAACAAAGGCTAGTGACCAAAAATAATCTAGAAAGTAATTATAGTGACTAGGGAATGCAGTTCTGCATCTCAGCATTAACTTGAGCAATTTCAAGTGTTTTTTAAATATCCAGTAAGCGTATACCTGAAAAATCAATAAAAAAGCCAGGTTCTCCACAAGCTTATGCTTTGTGTCATTATTTAGTACTGTGCAAAATGAGTATAAGCAACAGCAGTTGAGCAGGATAACAGTTTTTTCTGCTTTGCACTTGTGTAGGTGATGGCATAAAGTTAAGAAAGTAGGAAAACTGGCTCTGCACATGTAGAAAGGAAATATGAATGACAAAATATATGTGACTGAACAACTGGGTTAAGCACTTTGAAAAGCTAAAAGCAACCATGCTTCTGAAGGTGATCTAAAGGGGGAAATCCACCAAGTTTCTAAAAATGTATTGGTGCTGTGCATACGTGTGAATGACAGAGAAATACCTTTCTGTGTTGTTGGCTGTAAGATTAAGATATTTATGACATGAAATCAGTACTATAACCAAAGCAATAAAAGAGGTATTAGGTGGGAAATATTGGCCAGTTTTGTTCAACTCTGCACCATGTCAATGCAGGATCCATATTCAGCAAACTACAGGCCAACATTCTGGCCTGTAAAGATAGTGGGGGGGAGTAAGGGTGAAGCAAAGATGCCAGTGTGCTCATGAAGACCGCCAACAAAAGAGTAACTTGCTCCGTTTGCGTTCAGATGCCATCACACTGGCATGTCTCTCTACATCTTTCTGTCCCTGTGTTTAAGGAGGAGTCTGTTTGAGGTCCGTTGACATGAGTTCTGTCTAAACATGGTGTAGATGCATGAATGTGTGTGTAGATGTGTGCATCACTGTTATATGTCAGTAATATGCTTTGCAGGAGAGCCAGCAAAAATGTTCTATAATATTGGTGCTCTGTGGAACACGTGCTTTTTAGAACTTTTTTCTTGTATTTTAATAAAATCTAAAGGAAAAAAAATCCAATTTTCTGTGTTCTTATTTCTATAAGGCTAAGTACAGACAGTCAAAAAGCCCAAGGCTGAATAAATTCAGTCTTCACAGCTTAGTCTAAATTGTGCAGGTTGAACTGCTAAGCGAGTGAACAGACATTCGCCTTTGATTCTGGAAATGCAGCCACATGCCTGCAGTGGCCCAGGCCAGAAGCCAGGGGGCTCTAGAACACACCTCCCTGCTTGGCTGGAGCAGACAACTTGGGCCAAGGCTAGCTGTGAGGGGGCGTTTGCAGGGGAGGTGCAAAGCATCCTGGGATGCTGGGGGACTGTGAGCTAACTTGAATCCAGAGGGGATCTGAGACAGTAGTTCAATAAACCGATTTAGTCTAAATCAGTTAAGTCTGATACTACATCTATTCAGGTTTCTCTAAAAACAAGTTTTAGCCATTTTGAAAGCAGTTTATGTGCACTGAACTTCTGTTGTATTACAGATTTGAACCAATTTCAGATCACTTATATTGGTTTATGTGTAATTTCTATCCCTAACCTAAATGTGTAGTGAAAATCCTGATAAATTGACAGATAAGTTGAACGTTAGACTGTTCTTTTAAGAGACTGGCCAATACTGCAGTGATTAGAACCCAGCATACGCGGTCAAAATACTTATAAATGTCAGGACCTTTATTTTTGTTTTTTTCAGCTCTGACTGTAGTTGCTCAAGTTCTAAGAAAGATTAGAAGGAGCAATGTGAAAACCATTTGGATAGTGTTTAGTATGCAAAGTGCAGGTAACACTTCTAAAAATATGATCTTAAGGCAAGCATACCAAAATATACATTGCATGTTAAAACTGTACCGCTTTGCAAGCATCTTGCACTTGTTTAGACAACTTCAGGTGTATTCAGCATTCATGCATAAAGCTACATTTTCAATGAGTGGCACATAAGAGCAAAAATTAACTGTACCTGCAAATCAGAAAGCAAACTTAAGGGCTTGACTGAGCAATTGTTCTGTGAAAGAAGCAGTGAGAATGGAAAGTGCTCAGCAGCTTTCTGGATCAGAAGTAAAATTACTTATTTGATTTTTATAGTTTTCTTTATCACTGTTCAGTACTGTCCTGTGGATACTCATTCTATTTTCCTGACCAGGATTTTGGAATAACCAAAGAAGATGTTGTCTCCAAAGTATCCGCCCCTGCTTTTAAAATGAGCCTTAAAAATGTTGGCACAGAACTTGTGAGCTATGTGAATCTATCCATATCCATTCTATATGGGCATGACTGATAAAGCTCATAGTTTATGTACTTCATTATCTTAATGCTTTAACTGAAGATGCTCCTCACTAACATTGACACTACAGTAACAAGCACTATAATAGTAAAAACACCTTCAAAGGTCTGATTCTTTTCTCACACCACTATAATCTGCTGTAACTTGTGCTTGCATGTATGTCAGGGTTCTTTTCTACTGGAAGGCTGATTTTCTGGGATGTATACTGTACATAACAAAATAGTTCTACGACACCCAACCTCCTTCATAGCTAAACTGTTTATAGAACAGTATCTCAGAGATTCTTTCGACACAAAAGAGAAAAAGTTCTTCAAGCATAATAAACTTTTCCAAATATAAACTTCAAATAAAGGGTCTAATAGCTGGCTAAAGACTCTGATCACAGGCAAATGATCAATTTTAGCTCAAGTCAGTATCTCCTCCATGGTTCAATGCATTAATTGACTCACTATATTTTGCCTGTCTGCTTCTAATTTGCCAGTTATGTTAATGAACCCACTGGCTTGCATATGTTTTAAAAAGACTAATGTGCAGTGAGATAGTCTGGGAACGCCTAGCATTTGAGGCTCGTGTTCAAGTCCCCAAATCCCTAAAGGGTTATAGTGCTTACCATGTCATTTGATTATTTTTTTAAGCAGCACATCATCCATTTTGGGTTATAAATGCAAGAAATGTGATGATCTCAGTTTAGTATCCTACCAATGATGTATTTACCTCTGGTCTGTGGTTGAAGGCAAAATTAAGCAAGAGGTAACAAAAAGAAAAAAATAACTATAAATCATTAAAGGTTTCCTGCATTTTGAGTCTCTTGTGTGCTTTGTTACAACCCCACTGTGTATCGTCTGATCAACTAGAACAGTGGGTCTACTCATATGTGTACAGTGAGAGGTGCTTGCCTGATGAACTGAGTTGCAATGGCCTATACAGCTTACAATAGCATAGATTTTTTTTTTACTTCTGACAGGCCGGAAGGGAAAGAGGAAAGCATTTGTAGTCTTAGTGGAGGGCACCAGAGTCATCTGCCCCTACCTCGAAGCTATTTATAGAAACTGTGATGCCAGCACTTTAGCCTAGCACAGGGTAAAAGCGTCTGCCTGGAAGGAAGTCCAGAACTGAATAGTGGAAACATTTTAGGTCAGACCTGGTCAGATATCTTATGAGGCAAATCTTTCTGAGGTTTGTTCAGAGATTTGCAGGAAATTAGAACAAACCTTCCAAACCAGATCTTGGCAGGAAAGTTTATAAATGAAAAGCACTTGCTTCGTAGAAAAGAAAATATTCTTGTGACTGATACCATCATGTGAGGGGTAGCAGATTTCTCCTAGCTGACTCTCCTGCCATGGTCTTTAAGGGAACCCCAAGCAGAGTGCACTGAAAGACTGAGGCTGGAGGGCATGCATGGCATGTTTCACAATACTGAAAAAATAGACACAATTATCTAGTCACATGCAGACAAAAAACAGTGCAATTGGTCCCTGGTGCAGCCTGAGAATCTAGGAGTGTGGCAGGGGACCCAGGCATATCACTGTATCAGAAACCTCTCTGACAAAAGTTGGGCATATTATCTCCGTAATAGGGTTACACAAAGAATACTCAGCCACTCTCTTGGGGTAATCCCGTTGTGTAACAATAGTTGCTTTTTGGCTGGGCATAATGTAATCAACATTAACCTCCATATTATTCAATATCATTGGACAAGACAGCATGCCTTGTTCCTCTTCAGTAGATTGAGATGAACATGTTACTTTACCTGAATTTGGTAGTGGAGAAGGTATTGAACTGTCAAATCTGGGGGCTGAATCACTTTGTTTAGCTGTGGGTGCAAACTTTCTCCCCTTGAATTGACAGCAGAGACAGAGGCTGGGAGGGGCAAGGTAAGTTTCCACTCCCTCCCAGACTGCAGGGGAATTGTTTTTCCTTTTCAAGTTTTATGTGTCTACTGTTTTAATCAATCTCATGCTCTTTCCTGCTGCAGAAGTGAATGGGCTGCTTCAGTGATTTAAACATTTATAGCTTCAAAACAACCTGAACCAGTTGAATCATTTGAGCTTTATTTTATTTTATTTTAGTTTAGTTTTTGTTCTTTGTTTGAGTCCAGGTAAATAGATAAGACGAGTCATTACTGAAATCATTATGGACTGGATCATTACCCAGGGTACCATCTGCTGGTATTTTATCAAGCCTCCTTCTATTAAAGTACCATTAAATTGCTTCTGATGTTCACTTAGGGCAGCAAATAAATCTGTCCATTTGACAGATAAATAGGATGCCGAGTAACTATTTTTTAATTGTCTCTAACACCATCCAGTGTCACTCACAATCTATTTAGTCATTGATAGGGCTTTAATTAAATATATCCTAAATCTGATTGGCTTGTTGAATTGGGGAAAAAATAGGCTGCTGCACTTGATGGGCCTTTAGGTTGTCTATGTTCTTGTTTTTACTTTGATGGGCAATTAATAGCATGATTTAAAATGTATGTTTGCTGTCGTGGAGGGAAAGGCTAGGGAGGCTACGTTGTGTAATATAACAATATAAGCTCATAGATGATGTCGGTGAGAGAACTCCAAAGTGAAGTTAAGCAGGGGTGGCACCTATATTGTGAACCAGAAGTACTCACATACTGCCTAAAGGCCTGTTGTAGTCATTTACTAAAAAAAATGAGTAACTATTTTGAACATAGTGGGCATCTAAAGCTTCAAAGCTAAGTTCAGATGATCCATTTTAAATGTGTATGCTTGGATTGTAGTATTTTCAGTTTGAACAGCGTAATAAAAAGTACCGTTTAGTTCAGTACAATTAAATGCTGTTTTATTTCACTCTCTTAGGATTTAAAGTGTTAGCGATATAAAAAATTCTAAAGAGTGCCCTTAGGATATCTCTACCAGAATTCTCAAACATGGGGCATACAGGAGAATACTACTCAGCTTGCTTTCTTAGTTCTCAGAGTCTGAATCAGAGAAGTTTATGAGTCACTTAAGAATGCAACATTCATTAGCTCCTTTAGGGCATTATATAAATTTACAAACAAGTCCATCAAGTGATTAATGTTGCTTAAGAATTTATGAACTAAAAAGCACATTTTAAATGTGGTTAACCTAAATACAGTGGATCAACCAAAACTTTACAGTTAATACTTTCTATTATTCATCATCTTCTTTTCATACACTTATAACTTTTTTTTGCAAAATTTTTCTTCTTTTGCTGAAACCTTCTAGGCACAGACTCATTTTTCTCTGACATTTGAAAAAAATCACTTCTCATTTACAAAGAAAAATCTACTCAGATTTTTCTCTACAAAGAGATTTTCAGCTAGCATGGCTGAAGTTTGAGGCTTATTTGTAATCAAGAACTGTGCTCTTATTAGGTGTGGGGAAAATAATTAAAATAGTTGAAAACTCACATCTGGGCATGTTTAGTGGGTACATGTCCATATCATAATAATTGTTAACAGAATTGGCACTAATTAATACTTTTATCAGTAGTCTTGGCAGAAAGACTGAGCAATGAATAAGTTATAGACACTGACCTATTTTCTCACCCCTAGAAGTTGGCTCTCCAAAACAGAACTGAGGTACACTGGAGTACTATTGCGGGGAAGTTTACCAGTGTTGTCTCTGCTTTCTGGATAATTTCAGTCTGCAGGGATGAAACCAGCTCTATACGTTATAGTCTCTCATTATAGCTAACATCTCATCTATTTTTCTGAAGTCTCACTGGTACCTAAGAACCACCTCCTCCTTTGTGATGTCTCTAAACATCAGCACCACTACCCTAACATGGTGAGTCCAAAATGCTTCTTCTATAATTTCATTCCAATGTTACATGGTACCTACGCAGTTGAATCTCTTTATTTCTTCTCTTTTCCCATAGCAGAAGTTTTATTCTGTATGGTTTCTGACTAAATAATACTAAGGCAAAATATAAATCAACAGTCTGGGCCAACTAGGCACCTCCATTTAGGCATTACAATGCCTAAATTTATTTATTTTTTTGCCCTAGGAGAAAGTTCCAAATAGGGTATTAGAATTGCTGTGCAATCAGACTTAGATATAAGAGCTTGTCCATACTGTGGCAGTGGTGCCCCCTGGCAACAGGGGACCTAAGCATGCCCCATGCATGCTAGTTCACTTACCCAGTCCAGACTTTGAAGTTTGCCACCAAAACTACACTGGGCTCATCCCCAGTGCCCACTTTCAGGGATGCAAGAAACATAAGCTGCAGGAGAGCCCACAGGGGCAGATGGCCCTGGTCATTGGTATGCATGACCCCAGGGGAGCAGCCTTGACAAAGGAACCATGCTTGCCTCCACCGGTATGGACTGAGGACAGGGAGTGGGGCTGGTGGTAGAAAGAGCAGGGCACAGCTAGGTGATGTCCTGCCTCCACTGCCCTCCCTTGGCAATGGCTAGATCAGCTCTCCGCAACTTTTTGGGATTTAGATTCTAGCTCAGTAAATCTCAACCAGCACCCTCAGGTGTTGCTAAATTCAGAAAAGTTATGGAGGGCTCCCCTGAGGCTAGAAAGGTTGAGAACCACTGCTATACACAGTGGGAGTCTGTAAAAGGGACAATATTCAGAAAGAAGCCCTCCTTTGACTTTTTCCAGTGGTTGGCTTGGAGTACTTGATATCAGAAAAAAAGAAGGAATGCTTTGCAGGTGTATAGATACAAAATAATTAAATACATGTCTGAAAAAGGAATATTTTCCATTACCAACATTGAGAAAAGTTTTTGGAAAGATGGCTGGCTGATTCCATATACTTTTCTATGCTGGGTGTATCAGTAGGCTTCTTGCAGGTGCCATTAGAAAAGTTCAGGCCGTTTCAGCACTTCTGTAGGGAAACACTTGTTTGGGTTGAATTCAGCACCTGATGTTTCATTGGAGAATACAACACATTTTTTATAATAGTATGGACTACACAGGTGACATTTTCTTCTGGTAAGAAAAAGAGTAGATGAGCATGACAAGAGGCACTGACTGCTTCGGAAAGAGGAGAGCTGCTGTAGTAAAGCTAAATAGCACAGTTCTCCATAACATAAATAATAACCCATTTCATAGATTTCATAGACATTTGGGCTGGAAGGGATCCCGGAGGATCATAGAGTCCAGCCCCCTGCCCCAGGGACAGGAAGTCAGCAGAGATCATAGGATCCCAGCAAGATAAGCATCCAAATGTGTCTTGAAGGCATTCAAAGTGGGTGCTTGAATCGCCTCCAGCGGCAGTCTATTCCAAACCATGGGGTCTCGGACAGTGAAGAAGTTCTTTCTTATGTCCAGCCTGAAATGGTCACGGTGGAGTTTGTGACCATTCACTCTTGTCATCCCTTGGGGTGCTCTGGTGAACAGATGTTCCCCCAGATCCTGATGAGCACCCCTGATAACCTTATAGGTGGCCACCAGATCACCCCTGAGCCTGCGCTTTTCCAGCTGAAGATTCCCATGGCTTTCAGCCTGTCGTCATAAGGTCTGTTTTCCTGACCTCTGATCATGCGTGTAGCTCTCCTCTGCACCCTCTCAAGTTTCTCCACATCCTTTTTGAATTCTGGAGCCCAAAACTGGATGCAGTACTCCAGCTGTGGCTTCACCAAGGCTGAGTACAATGGGAGAATGATGTCCCAGGATTTGCTTGAGAAGCATCTATGGATACAAGCCAGTGTTTTGCTTGCTTTACTAGCCGCAGCATCACACTGAAGGTTCATGTTCATCTTGTGGTCAACCATGACCCCCAAGTCCCTTTCATCTGTAGTGCTAACCAGCATAGCACTGCCAAGCC